TTCAGTTGTCATATCAAAACACACCCAAGACTTTGGAAATAGGAAGGAAGATGTCAGTCAGAGCAATTACAAGGGAGGCTCATGGCCTTGTTTATCATCTCAAGGTTTTCAGTATTCAAGCCTTCATATTACAAGTCAATCCTGGGGTATCCTGTGCAGAAGCTGAAAGAGCAAAATCAAATTAACTTTCAATCAAAAGGAGTCATTGCCTTACTTCTGCTAGCCCCCAAGCATGCAATCCTGGGATTTCCTGGAACAGAGCTAAAAGAGCCAATTCAAAATCAAAGTACAAATCAAGTCACCAGAACCAGGGAGGGATGACAACACAGGTATCAAAACCGCGTGCTGCTGCCTTTATGAAAAAACATGTCATAAGGGGCCACCTACCAAGAGGTTCTGGACTATATTTCTGTTGCCCCAGAGAGCTTTACTTGCCAGATACAGTTCTTTCCAAAATAGACCTTCCTCTGTAGGAAGTAGAGTCTTAGAATCTTTGTCATTCAGCAGCAAACAAATCCAAGAATTCAAATGGCAAATATGTCCCACACAACTGTTGTAGATAAAATTTCCCAGTAGCGAACTCCTTCAAACCTAATACATACAGATAAAAACTCCTTAATTTTTCTGATCAAGATTTAGCAAAACCGTTACTCCAAATACCCATTGGGGGGCCAAAAACAATGACCAGTTTACCTCTTAATCTCAAAGCTCCTTCTAACTTAGATTCCAGTCATGAATTTGCTAATTTAAACCATGGCTGAGCTTTGTTGGCATGCTAAATCCCCTGAGGCAGAGATCACAAATAAAAGCCTAAAGTCACAGAACTGAAATTATGCTAACGAAAAATGGCACAAAAGGAAATGAAAAAAATCATTAAAACCTTAAGTTCCAGAGCAACCTGCCATCAAATGCCATCTTGGAAACAGACTTAGAAGAAAGAGCAGACACCATATTTGATCTGGCCTTGTGATTTCAACTTCTGCCATCTTTTGAGTAAAATTGTTGATTGATACAACAATGCTTCTCCTGCTTGGAGAGGAAATTTCCCCCTCTAAATTTCTTTAATCTTAAACAAAACTTATAGATACAAGGGTTAAAACTAACAGTGGGGAAATAGCAGGCTAGGGAGGAAGAAGCGTACCACACCTAGCAGAGGAATCTGCCCAGACATACCTAGCACAGGCTGCACATACACACTATGTAAGTAATGATATGTTTTCTTTAAACTAAAAACTCTGGCTTTGAACTGAGATTCCTGCCCCGATAGTGCCTGAATGAGTGGTGGACATTGATGCCATCGGATATACCAGGGTCAAGATGTAACAGGGTGGTCCCCAGGAAAGGGGGAGTTTCCCTGCCCCACCCAAGGAAGGGTGGAGCTGAGCAGGAAGAGAAGCGGCAGAAGAGACTGAGGAAGGAAGCAGGATGGAGCCAGGAGACATGTGAAGAAACTGTGCTTGTCTTTTGGTCGTGGACTGGGTGACACAGATGTGGGTGAGACCCGTGGGGAGGTGACAATGGCAGCTTTTATCTTGATGTTGATTTTGCTCTTTTCCTTCCGGGCTTGTCTGGTTGTTTCTGACCCTTTTCTGTGGGTCCCCACTGGAAGATGCTTTAGACTTGTGGCAGGCTTTGGGGCCTTGCTCTGCGCCATTCCCATATGGATGGACTTTTACCCACGAGGGGACGGGTAACTTTGGGTGCTTCATTTAGAAACTAGACTCTTTGCCTTACCTGTATTGTTTTCTAGTTTTATTAAAGTTCCTTCCCATTAAAGTCTCATGTTTTGTGTTGATGTGGCGGATGGCAGAACCCATCTAGAATAGGCAGGTTTGCGGGGTTTGGGCTGCCCATCTCCCTGTCCTATAACAAAGATAATCAAGAAGCTGATAACGAACTGTGGGGGTTGTATGTGATATCAGCTATTGTTGCAGAAATAAATTCTACCCTTTTACCCAGGCAAGGGAAGAACAAGCAGTGCTTCAGGAATGGTGAGGTCAGGAGAAACTTTGTTACTCAGGCATGAAGTCTCAAACCTGGGCAGTCCTGTAAGGTCTGAGCAGTAGTCTAAAGACAAAGAGTTTCTTTTATACACAACCACTTTACATTGATAAAATTGGTTAGTTAGCATACAAATTCTTGACACAGGAAAAGGGGAAGGATACAGATCTTCCATGATGGCCTGGGAGATCAAGCAAACTAGCAGGCTGCCAGACCTTGTTTAGATATGCTTATTAAGGAAGCAAACTTGTTATTTACTTTACATTTCCAGGTCTATGACTCTTTAACAGGGAAAGATTTCCTTTTCTTAGCAGTTCCCTTTCACTATGATAGGAAGCTGTTTGCTTATGATTAACTGTTTTTATTTTACTCATTAAAAAAAAAAGCCAGCTTGGGCCTCCCCAGTGGCTCAGCGGTTGAGAGCTGGGTTGCAAAGCTGCCCGCAGCCTCTGCAGCACAGGTTCTATCCCGGCCACCGGGTGAGGGTCCCACATGGTTCACAGACCTCTCCTGCCACCCGCTGCTCCACTCAGCAGTGTACTTCGTCAGTCTGTCTGTTCTGCTCCCTGCTCTGGCTCTGGTGAATTCTCTCACCCTCCCGCGCTTCTGACTGTACCCAGTGCTTGTATAAATAAATAAATAAATCTTAAAAAAAAAAAAAAAAAAAAAAAGGCCAGCTTGAGACCGGCCCTTCCATTCCCACACACTGGTGGCCATGGGAGAACCGCCTCTACTTTCTCTCAGATCCCGTGGCCACAGGAGAACAATCTCTCGGGGTGCTGTGCCTTCCAGTCATTCAGATTAGTGGCCAGCAATCTGAAAAATAAAAGTGCTTATAGATTCAGTTTCTGCCATTGCTTATTGACTTGTTGGTCGTGACAGGCAGCAGAATTAGGCCTATTCCCAGTAACTTGCCTTCTTGTTCGCACATCTCTCTGCTCCATGTGTCTCCTCCAAGTTTCTTCTCCAAGACTCTTCAGCTTTTCCTTCCCACTACTGAAGGGTGGGGAAGGAGACATGGAACCTCCCCTTTTCACAGAGATTACTCTCTAACAACAGGCTCTAACTAAATGTTGGAAACGAAGGTAGGAATTCTCCGTCGAACCCACACACCAGGCCATCTGCCCGCTTGGGACTGGGGCCAGAAGACTGGGATCATGGCCCCAGCACAGCCATACGCTGGGCACAGAGGGACTGAACACTGGCCTAGAGGAAGGGCAGATAAAACCGTTATTGTCCATTACAGTGAGGTGTGTGCCCTCGGACAGGGTCCCAGAACCCACGTGAAGATCCACTGTGGTGACTAGTTAGGCAGTGTGAGTTCAGACATGGCTAGAAGGATGAGGGCTAGTGATGCAGGGGGCATTTAAAAAAAATCCGAGAGCCACCTAACTTTAGTTAGAGTGTGTATAGTGGCATCTGGAAGGGTACATGACAACAATGGTACAATACACCATATGATAGAACGCAGCCACAAGTCTATGATATAACCTAGTTTATATCTGATATATGATAAATGATATAATCCATAAAGGTGGATGATTTTGTGCGGTCTGATACAATGGTATTCAGTTCAGAGGGAGACTGCTTTGCGTGTAAAAGGGGAGTCCAAGTCTCTCAATTTGCACTTTTAAATAGATACACAAATGTAATACTGGTATTAATACTATTAATTTGTAAAGGGGTATTAAGAGGAGAAAGATCTCTTCAGAGTGCTATGCCTTCCAGTCATTCAGCTCTACTACCCTTCTGGTCAAATTCAAAGCTAATTGTTATCACATCTCCCGGCTGTCTTGATATTTCTGACCATAATGAGGGTGCCCCTGTAAATATCTGCATAGTCTATTCACTTGGTTCTTGATTTCCCAATGACCATACTCCTCTATATGAGAAAGTTGGGTCCCTTACCAAGAGAGTCATAATACCACTGAGTTATCTGAATGGGATGAGCATATACATGCAGCCACACGAGCAGTTTGCTCTGCTCTGCTTGTCGGTGTGCTCTTAGGCATCCCAAACTAGCCAGCTTCATGAGACTGTAACAGACTCTAACTATTTAATAGGGTGGTCCCGAGGAAAAGGGGAGGTTCCAGGTTCCCTGCCCACCTAAGGAAGGGTAAAGAGCAGGGAGGAGAGAAGAAGCTGGAAAGGAGACCGAGATGGAGGAAGCAGGGCGGAGAGCAAGAAGGAGACCTGGAGGTGGCACATGGAGAGAGAAACACGTGAAGGAGCTGCACTTGCTTCTTGACCCTGGGATGGTTGAAAAAGATGTGGGTGAGAGACCTGTGGGGAGGTTAACAATGGCAGAATTTATCTTGATTTGATTTTGCTCTTTTCCTTCAGATTTGACTGGCTGTTTCTGCCCCTTCCCTATATGTCCCCACCAAAAGGTCTGTTAGACTTGTGGCAGGCTTTTGGTCTCAGTGGCCCTGCTTTGGGCCAACCCTGTTTGACTGGACATTTACCTGCAAGAGGATGGGTAACTTTGGGTGCTGTATTTGGAAACTATATTCTTCCCCCTTTTCTTTGTTGCACACTAATTGTATTAAAGTTCCTTTCCGTTGAAGGTTTTTCACACTAGAGTATGTTTTGTCTTGATGCGGTGGATGGCAGAACCTATTTTCTTTTCTTTCTTTCTTTTTTTTTTTTAAGATTTATTTATTTATTTATACAAGAACCGGGGTACAGGCCAGAATCGTGAGAGGGTGAGAGGTTTCACCAGAGACAGAGTGGGGAACAGAACAGGCAGACTGACGAAATACACTGCTGAGGGGAGCAGCAGGCGCGACAGGAGAGGTCTGCTTCGCCATGGGGGACCCTCGCCAGCCGGCCGGGATTAAACCCATGCTGCAGAGGCTGTGGACAGCTTCTCAGTGCGGCGCTCAACCACCTGCACCACCAGGGGAGGCCAGAACCTATTTTAGAATGGGTAGGTTTGGGGGTTCTGGGGTGCACCCTCCCTGTCCTGTAACAAGACTTCTTGGTTTTCATTCCCAAAGGGAGAAAATGGCAATAAATGGCGCCTCAAGATCCTCAAACCAAAAACCTACAACATGAACCTCCAATGTCTGTTCACCCTAGATTTCTCCAACTTTTACCAAGTCCTTATGCTGACCCAGAAAAGTGTTGTCCAACAGCTCATTCATTGCTTGTAATAAAACCAAGAAAAAGTGGGGAAAAGCACTGCTTGTCTGAGTCATTTTGCTTGTCCATGGACCCCTGTGCAGACATGCTTATTTGTCGTCCCAAGACCAAGCTGGTAGAAAGGCTGATCTTCTGACAGCTGGACTCCACATGGTGCCTCTTCACCAACAGCTGTGATGTTGGGAAGGATCCTAGGGGAAGCCTGGCTCAGGAATCCTGCCTTCTGTCCCTGGTGCATCTGATGTACTATATAAGTAGTTAAAAAATACAAAGAAGCAGCCAAAAAAGGTGTCCTTCAAGCTGGGCCCCCACCGGAACTTAATGCCCATTCTCACTGTAGTTTCAGCCTCTCCAAGAAGTGCCATCCTAAACCAATCAGTGTGGAGTTTCCTAATCAGCGCCAGTGAGGAGGTCATCTCTATGGAAAGACCAACCCCACCCCCCACCCCCCCCCCCCCCCCGGCCTTTTCCCTGAGGGAAGGTGGTTTTACCTGAAATACTCTTTCCTTTTACTAATAATCTCGTTCCACCCTTTTTCTGTCTATAAATGCCCTCCATTTTGTGTAAGCCCTGCAGCAGCTAGATAACATGTTGCCTGATTCACCACTTCTTTAAGAGTCAATTAGATCTCTAAATTTATGAATTTTTGCTTTAGCAACATTCACTCAAGTTCTACCTTCTTGCCTAGTTCTCTTTCAGGTGCTCTCATTCTCTTTTCATTCCCTCCTGTTATAGAGTTAATCTCCATAAAAAGGGGTGGATCCTTGTTCCCTGCCCCACCTAAGGGCAGAGCCGAGCAGGGAGGAGAAACTGAAGAAGAGGCCTGGAAAGGGGACTTGGAGGAGACACATGGAACTGATGTTGTTTTTGGAGTTTGGAGTGCGGGGTCCTTGGGTTCACTCTGGGAAGGGTGTCACCAGAGCTCCTGTTTTGGCGGCAGGCGGCGAGTTTCTCCATGAGACAGACGTTAGTTATATTGAAAGAACAGGTTTATTAGGGAAAGGGACCGAAGAATAAAGGACACTTGCTTAGACACAACCAGGCAGAAAGGGCTGCCCCGAAAGGGACAGGTTTGCTGAGAGAGGCCTGCATGGTTGCAGGCGGGCGGCCTTGAGGAGAGCTGCCTCCTCTGAGGGAGGTCAGTGAAGAGAAGTCCCGGCAGGTGCAGGTCACAGGCAGGAAGCTGCTGCCCTGCGGAGGGAGAAGGAGGGTGAAAAGAAGCACCTGCATAGTCACGGGTGGGCAGACAGACTATTGCCCCATTTGAGGGCTGCGTTAGGTTTTACCATCTTCGGGGAGGGGCTCATCTTTGTGGGGGGATGTTTTGTGCCCCTGACACTCTGTATAGCAGTCTCATAGTTTCCGGGTATTGCACCTCCTGATCTGGACGTTGATGTCTAAGAGTCTTGGTTTCTATAACTGGGTTAATGGATTACACTCGTGCCTTCCACCCCGACCTCCTTGTGGGAGTCAGGTTCTTGACCTTGTATTTCCTTTCCTCCATCAGAACAAAGAAGAATTCCTGTTTGCTTTTCAGCTTTGGACTTGCACCAGGGACTTGGGGACCATAGGAGACACTTGGAAAAATATGGGTGAGGCTGACAATGGCAGCCTTTATCTTGAATTGTATTTTGATTTTGTTCTTTTCCTTCCAGACTTGCCAAGTCCCTTTTGCCCCTTTTCTGTGGTTCCTGCCAGAAGGTACCTCAGACTTGTGGAAAGTTTTGGGGCTTCAGGTCAACCTTGTTTGGCTGGTCATTTACCCAGAAGGGGATGGTTTCCCAATAAAACACTATCAGCCTTTCTTCTCTCCCTATGTACATGAATCCTATTAAAGATCTTCCACACTAAGAGAACGCTTTGTCTTTGTGTGACAGGTGGCAGATTTAGAGTGTGCAGGTTTGGGGTGTCCCAGGATACCCCTCAGTTTACGCACTAACACTCCCACCATCTCCCTTTTCATTAAGTCACTGGGGCAAGAGGTTCCTGTCTGCCGCCAAATATCCTTTTGTTCTTTCTCTCTTGGTCATAGCACCCTAATTTTACTTGAGGCAGAATGAACCCAGCAAAGATGACTTTGCCTGTCTCTATGCAGTTAGGAGTGGCCTGTGACTATGCGCTGGCTAAGGAGACAAAAACAGGCATTGATGGGACTTCTGGGAAGAATGATAAAAGGGAGCTGACTCAGCTAATGTCTGTTCTCTCGGGCAGTCATAACAAAATAACACAGACTGACTTGATCAACAGAAATTTATTTTCTTATGGTTCTGGAGGCTGGAAGTCCAAGATCAAGGTGACAGTTGATTCAGTTCCCTGGTGTGGGCTCTCTTCCTGGCTTGCAGATGGCTGCCTTCTCACTGTGTCTTCACTTGGTGGAAAGACATCTATCTCTCTTTCTCTTCCTCTTCTTAGCCTATCAGACCAGGGCCCCACCCTTATAACCTCATTTAACCCTAACTATCTCCAAAAAGTGCTATCTACAAATATAGTCACACTGAGGCCTCAGCATATGAATTTGGGTGGCAAGCACATTTCAGGTCATAGTGGTGAGGCATTACATCATTTGGGTCTTCCCTTCCTTCCTCCTCCCCCTACCCAAAATGCTGGTATGATGGCGAGAGCTTTAGCAGCTATCTTGGACCATGTGACAACCCTGAGAATGTAAGCAGTAGGTTCTGAGGCTAGAAGTATAGAAAGGTGGAAAGGTCCAGGGTTGACTTTGTAGAGCCACCATATCATCACTGAAATTGCTAGTATGCAGGCTGCAGGGCACCGCAGGACCCTCAAAGCTGCGTGCTCTCATAGGTTTGGCTATCTGCAGCATAAAGACAGTATCCAAGACTGCTAATAGAACCAGTATGCATATGTTTCAGGGCGACCCCGATGTGAAATGGGTTGCCTGACTGTGGGTCCTCACCTGCGCGACACACAAAAAGGTTAATAAAGGGTTTATTTACAAAAGAAGGGGAAAGGACTAACTCAGGGAGAAAGAGAGATAAATTGGTGAATGTGTCCTACAAGTTCTGCTGAACTGGAAACCCCAATATCACGCTGAAAGCCGGTGAAAATCCAAGTGTCCCACAAGGCCCACATGTCCAGTTATATATCAAACCTGGCTGCTTAACTCCACCCTCAGTTCCCACAGTCCTCCCTTCGGTGGTGATGATATTATGGGATTTGTAGTCCTTGGATCTCTTTGGTCTGGGGTGGGGGTGGGGTCCATAAAACCTATTTGTGGAGTTTGTTCAAGACATCCTTTCCCCCCAATACATAGAAGAGAAAGAATATAGTTTCCAACAAAACACCCAAAGCTACCCATACCCTTGTGGGTAAATGCCCAGTGAGTGTTGGCCCAAAGCAGAGCCACTGAGGTCCAAAAATTTGCCACAAGTCTAAGGCACTCTCTGGTGGGGAACTACAGAAAAGGGGTAAAAGGGGCCAGGTAAGTCTGGGATGAAAGCAGCAAAATCAAGTTAAAGGTTACCATTGTCTGCCTCCCCATGGTCTCTCACCCGTTTCTGCCAAGTGTCTCTACGTGTCTCAGCTCCACATGTCTTCTTCCATGTCCCCCAGGTCCCTGATACAAGTCCAAGCTGAGAAGCAAGCACACTCTTTCTCTTTACACAACTCTCTGTTCCATATGTCTCCTCCAGTGCCTGCTCTCCAAATGTTCTACATCTTCACCAGCCCTTTCAGTTATGGCCCTCATTAGGTGGGCCAGGGATCAGGGAACCTCCCCCTTTCATGGAGATTACTCTTTAACAGAATGATGTTAGGATTTGCTTTCATAAGGGCACTGGTTCTCTCGTCCAGCTGATGTTGGAATAATCATGGGAGCTTTGAAAAATATTGGTACTTGGGTATCACCTGCAGAGATGCTAATACATCTGGTCTTGTAAAGTACAGCTAGGCATCATGGTTTTTCATTTAAGTTCCTCTGGTGGTTTTGATGTGTGAAGGTTGAGAATACTGCATTAAAGGAGAAACCCTTCATAAGAGAACAGACTATATTTTAAACTATGGTATTTTAGTTTTGTTAGTATGAGGCTAACACAACTTCTTACAATCAGAGATCTAATTTTGGAAATGAATCACTTCCATCTTTTAAGATTTTCAGAGCAACAATCACAAAGAGTCAGCAGGAGTCCTGGCCACATCCTATTTTGTTCAATAGCATATTCGGGTAGATTGAATTAAAGCTGAATGGTGACAAAGTGGTGAAATATTAACTACAATTTTCTGTCCCTTTACCCACTGAACACAACAGTTATGTAACTAAATATGAACTCCAGGATTAAAATAAACATTTAAATTAAAAATAGCGAGATGTGATACTTTTGTCAATACACGTTTATGTCTATAAGCAAAATACATCAGTGAGGGTCATTAGAAGCCAATGGACTATTTGTTCCAATTGCCCAGTGCCCCTCCCTGTCTTGGCCACATGAGATGATATCACTGGGAGAAGCTCTGCCGGCTGGAGAGCACTGGTTTAAAATAGCAGGTGCTTGGGTTCAAATTACAGTTCTATCACTTAAAAGCTGAGCATTCTCAGGTAAGTCACCTGACCTTTCTGTGATCCAGATGTCCCCTTGAAAATGCAGTTCCTGGTTCTACCAGGGACATAGAATTGCAGTGAGGATACACAACAGTAGACAAAAAAAGGACTTAGCATTGTACCTGACATGTAGTCAGTGGAAAGGTCAGCCATCACTCTCAGGAGGGCCAGCTGCTCTTCCTGGACGGTGGGACCTTCCTTGGGGGGCGGGGGAGAGGTAGTAGGCAGTAAGTGGGGGGTGGGGGGTTTCTTCCATCCATTTATGGACAACAGTGTGCCAAAATAGGGCCACTTTTATGAATAGGGTGCTAAATGAGCAAACACATGTCTGGAAATAAAGGTAATTCATCCCTGGAGAGATACCATCTCCCAGGTTCAGGGGTTAATGGGCTCAAAGGATTCATAACAAGCAGTGCCTGAGACAAATTGGCCGAGCAGCTATTGTTCCTGAGACAGCCCTTCAGCTGGGTCCCATTTATTAGCATGCCTGCCGGAGAGAAAAATTAAAAGGCAAGCCCCTTCAAAGATAACGGAAATAGAGCGCAAGGGGCAGAATGCCCTGAAAGTCTGAGCTGGCGACAGAGAGGCCGTGCTTCTTCATCTGCTGCCAACCTCCAAACAGTGAGCTCTGGAGGAGCCTGGATGGGGGCCAGCGCGCCGGCGTGCGCTCCTCGGTAAATATGGGAGCTGCCAAGAGCCGGCCGTGGAAAAGCACTTACAGACGAGAGGCAAACACATGGCAACCATGACCCTCTGCGATCGTGAAAATGCATCGTGGAGGAAGATGAGAGGAAACAAACCATTCTCTTTGGGGCTGTTCATCTGGAAGTGTGTGGCCAGGAGTGTTATTGCAAATAAATGTGCCCAGCCCAGCAATGTCTGGGAGTAATTGGATGTTTTCATTCCCGTGGAAGCTTCGGGAGAGCTCCTTAGACAAACACAGGTCCCCAAAGCCACAACAGACCCTCGCTGCTGTGGGCTGCTTCTACACTTCACTGCTTCTGGATTGGTTCAGCTCATTTCTGGGACAGGCCAGGCAGTGGTGAGTGCTTGTGACTATGGAAACTTGCGAGTGGGGGTGTGAGCCTGGAAGAAAGGACAGAGTCCTTGCAGATGCATGGAAATGGTGTATGACCCGATGGCGCTCAGGCTTCTGTAGATGGACATTTCTATGGGGTTTCCCCAATTTAAGCCCCAGTGTTGGCTAATCACATAATTCCTGGGACCTACAGCAGGTCTCCGGCATCAGGTTCTTTGGGAGTGAATGTGGGAATCTCGGATTTTAATAGAGCTTGAGTGGAGACTCCCAGGTACACAAAAGCAGTGACTTTAATGCTTAAGAATGCATCGGGATCATCCAGAGAGCTTGCTAGACTGCAGGGCCCCATCTCAGCAGCCACTCCTGACTAGGAAGGTCACGGTGGCACCCATGGAATCACATTTCTTTCGCTACCGCTCCTGGTTCTTTGAGCGGACCTGCATTCAAGATTGCAATCCATGGTTTTTACTAAGTCTGAGCAACAGAGATGTAATAATAATCCCCAACTGGGTGCCTCATCTTCCTGTCCTCAGGCATCACAGAGTCTGGGGGCCGAGACTTCTAGTTTCCCGAAGAAGCCACGAAATGTCACAGAAGTTACCACAGGAGGAGTTTGTGCTGCGACTTCACTTGCAGAAAAGAAGGTCCTAGGCAGTGTTTCTCAACTGAGATTTTAAACACACCCCAGAGTCTGACAAGAGCACTAGACCAATTCATTTAATGTAGACTCTTTGGGGGCAGGACTTGGTCATTATCCGGGTTTTCAAATTCCCCTGGGGAGTCCAGTGTGCAGTCACAGTGGAAGACCATGTACAAAAGCTATTAACCCTGGCTACCATGAGAACCACCCAGGGAGTGATGAAAAGCACCACAACTGTGCCCACGCCTCCCTTGAGATTCTGAATTCTTGATTAGGGGTAGAGTCTGGGCATTGACATTAAAACAAGAGACTTCAGGTGATTCCCATACAATAGGGTGCAGGGGTGCAAACCCAATGGTCTGAAAGGGACACAGTAAGCTATAGATCTTGAGGAGATAAGCACTGGGGCAAACCAGGGATTGGATTCATTTAGGTCACCAGCACTGATGATGATCATAAAGCATGTCACAATGTCATAAAACAGTCTTGTGAAGTGTGATCAAAGCAAACTTCCTGCCATTAGAAAAAAACTGAAGCAGGTTTCCACGATGGTCTGAGTAGACATTTGCTGGGGTTGTGGAGGACAGAAGTGTCCTCTGCAGACTTCAGACCTGCCTGCCCTGGGTGCTGTTTTAGTTTTCTAATCTTGGGGGAATAGGACTCTGCCTTAAAAAACAACATTCTGGGAGGTTCTAATGTGCATTACAATCAGAGAACAGGTCACATGAAGGTTCCAGGGAGTCAGACCACAAAAGGGGGAATTCTTTGCCATCTTTGGCTTACCTGAAGTCTCTGCTGGGCACACAATGCAAAATTTTCTTCTGGGTCCAATAAATAGAGCTGACTTTATTCACAGGAGTCTGAGAGTCACACCCAGTTGTCTAAGCTTTGATGTGTTCTTTTCCTTTCTACAAGGATGAGCTAGACTGCTGGAAAAAAAAAAAAAATGAAAGAAAAGAAAAGGATTTCTCTTCTCTCCAGAGAATTCTAAATCTCCTCACTAGAGATTCAGGCCGCCCGCCCCAACAATGGTGAACGTTTGATGTCCCAGCTTTGGCCAATGATCTTGGCATGTCCTGTGTGCCAGTGAAAAATGTCTTCTTGTAATCTGCTCCCTCTGGCATTATTAAATTGGAGGGAGGGTGGGTTAGGTGGGGACGGGGAGAGGGGAGCAGACTGTATTGTCTACTATGACCATGGCATTCACAGTTAAGTCTGAAGGCTTGAAAGGTCTATGACCCCTAGCCATTTACTATTTTGATGAGGCACAAAGTTGGACACTGTGTGTCTCAGTGTGTCAAGGACAAGTGGGTCATGTAACCAGGGCAGGGCACAAACGCCAGCATCCTCATTTTGTGAAACTGCTGGCAGTTTTATTTCCTGGTGACAATGGTTATATGATCGGAGAGAGAATTTCAGAGAATATAGAACTTGTGGTCAGGGAGTGGCATAGATTACTCCTGAAGTTCTGGAAGACATGTGATTTAGGGTAAAGCCAGGAATCTGTTATCATTGCCACTGCTAAGAATCCAGGATTCCTGAAGGTCTCAGATTCAGTTCTCCAAATATCAACAGTCTTACATGTGTTGGGTCTGGGGAAAAAGAACAATAATAGAAGCTTAGGATTACTGAGAGCTTATGATGCGCTGAGCACACATCACCTCATTTAGCCCTCGTAGCACCCCTGGTGGTGCACACTTTGTGGTTACCATTTTCTAGATGAAGCACAGAGCAGTTGCCCAGTTTCAAAATGGGCCCTCAGCAGGACAGCTGGGATTCCAATCGACAAACTCTCAACTTGAATGGACTCCATGTGCTTATCCTGCCCAGGCTGACCAAAGAATCCTGATTAGTCTGTTGAGGGAGAATCCCCCATCCTTGATAGCTGACCAAGTCCCTCTTCTCCCCCTGCCTCCCTGGACATCGAAGTCCTTGCTCATCCTGCTATGAGCAAGAATACCCTTCCCTTTGATGCGGTTTTCTTTATAAGTCCCCATCCACCCAGCTCCTCAGCCTCGTCCCCAGCACTTAGTCCCTGCTTGTCCTCATTCTGTTCTGAGTTGAGCCCCATCTCTCCCCGGATGCAATACTCCTACTGCCATCATCTTGAATAAAGCCTTTGCCATTAGTTAACCTAATGGTTATAACCTAAGTTACACCTTTTTCTCTATCAAGGGTCAGGATACCTTTTCCGTTAACAGAATACAAGTGTTGGACTCTGGCACCTACATTCTTAATTTTCATACTGCCCTGATGAGCCAGCACCATCCAACGGCACTGCAATGCAAGCCACAGACATCATTGCAGTTTTTCTGGTAGTCACGCTAGAAAAGGAGAAAGTAACAGGTGACGTTAATTAGAAACTATTTTTATCGACTATATCTGAAATATCATTTCAACATGTCATAAATAAAAGATTATTAATGAGATATTTCACATTCTCTTTTTTCCTACTACCATCTTCAAAATCCAGGATATCTTTTGTGCTTGGAGCACCTCTCAAGCACATGTTGAGTGTGCTGGCATGGAAACCATGGTGGGCGGGGAGGAGGACGGGTGCCAGCTGGCCAGACAGCCCACCAGGGCTCTAGAGAGCTGCCAAAGGCCCCCAAAGGCGAAAACATCTCCAGCCAAAACCAAGGGCTAGAGCAATACAACACCCACACAGTAGGGTCCCATGGGGTGCTGCCGAACAAAGGACAGTGCCCGACAGAGGACAGGTAACTGTCTGTGGGTTCTCACCCGCATGTACAATTGCAAGAGACCTCAGGCTCCAGGAACAACAACCATGGGGTTTATTTTATAAACAGGGGGAACAAAGAGGCACAAGTGGCAGCTGCCTCACCCCAGATCCACCAGAAGTACAGATGTAAGCAGAGTTCCGGTCACTGATCCATAGAGCTGGACAGTACTGGCCAGAAGTGATGGCCACTACTGGTCCCGCAGTAACTGCCCTTTGTGAATTGTTGGACAACACCAACAACAAACAGCTCTTTGAGACACCAGGCCTGGGGCCTTTGGTGCTCTTTTCAGGAAACGTCAGAGACAGGACAGGATGCCCAATCTCTGACAGAGTCCTTCAGCTTCTCTTCCTCCCTCGGAGGTCAACTAACTGCTAGATGCTTCTTTTCTTCTTTCTTTGGAGACTGAGAACAGAGTCTTCCCCTTCTTATTTCCAAAGCTGGAACAGTTTCCCTCAGCTCCCTCTGGCCCTGGCTTATATCCTTTTTCAAGGATCTCCACCTACAATTCTGACTGGACCATTTTTCAGTCCTATAGCTGATTGGACCATTTAGCGCCAATCACTCCTGATCAGTCCATTGCATGATCCAGGAAGTATGCATAAAAAGGAGGTTGCTGGACTCTAAGGAACCAGAGATGGAACCGGCCTGTGGTGGAACAGCAGGGTGAGAGACACTACAACTGCTGCCAGCTCCTGCCACTGAAGTGGCTCCTGGTTCTGGTATGAGCACCATGGGTGGCGAGTGGCAGCTCGCAATGATGTCTGTGGCCTTGCTGGGCGCTGGGCTGTTGCTTGCAGGGCACTGGCCTGGATGATGTGTTTGTGGGAGCACTGCCACAGAGGGAACTCTGGAAGAGGAGGAGGGGGCAGAACAGAGACAGGAACCTGAAGGAGCAGGGGCCCGGGAGATCTCTGGCAGGATCAAGGAGACTAAAGTAGGGAGTCTACTGGCCTGCGGGTAGGGGACTGGGACTGCAGTTGGGGAGTCTGCCTGGGATTGAGGTTAAAAATGATCTGGATTTGAGAGTGAGAAGGCAGGTCATGAAGCAGCCAGAGGTCCTGACTCCAGGCTGGAGCCAGGGGAGGTATGTGGTTAGGAAAGGCAGGTGGGGTTTCATGATAGTGTCCCTTCTGAGGTGCCCTGAGAGCACCTGGGGTCCTGTTCTGACACAGATGCTGACGCGGCTAGGACAAATGAAGTCTAAGCGTTGGCATTTCTCAAGGACCCCCTGCATGGTGACATTCTGGCAGTGGACCCACTCTGAGTGGCAATGAATGGAACACGGGAAGTGATAGGCCAGGGACGTGGAAAGGATGAAGGTGTAGGCAGGGTTTGAATTGAGTTCCTTCTGAGTTGCAGCAATGACTGCACCTCCTTCCTGTTGAATGCCTACTACGTGCCAGGTGCTATGTTCCGTGCTTTGCACCAGGGGTCTGCAGACTGGTTGCCTGGTTGAATGGGGCCACTTCCTGTTTTGGTAAACAAAGTATAATTGGAATCCAGTCACACCCATTTGTTTACATATGGTTCCAGCTGCCTCTGTGGTGCAGTGGTGGAGTGGCTGAGGCAGAGACCACACGGCATGCAAAGCCCATACTATTAACCATCTGGTCCTGCACAGAAACGTTTGTCAAGCCCTTATTTATATGTTATCTCATTTAATTCTCACCATATTACCCGAGGAGGTAAGTACTATTATTCTCCCATCTACAGATGAACAAAGGCTTAGAGGCATTGAGATGGTTACCCCACCTCACAGCTAGTAATAGATGCAGAGCTGGCCCTCATACCCCAGCTGACAGATGTCAGAGAGGCAGTAGCCTCTCCACAATGCTGGTCTCGTGGAGATAGGAGTGGCTTCCAGAAAGCAAAAGTGTCTATGTGTGAGCAGAAGAGTGAGAATGAGAGCAGGTCATTTGTCAGGGAACAGTCTAATAAGATTAAAAACTAAACCCCCACCCCTGGCCCAGCAGGCAGGTTTGGAGGCTGGAATAGATGAGGGAATGGATTAGGCTGCCTCAGGGAAAGGCAAGAGGACCTGACCAGCATGAGCAGAAAAACCAGCCCAGCTCCAGGAATGCAGAAGCAGGGCCAGGACATGTTTCTGTGTTAAAGGCCAGCACACAAGACCAGACATCCCGGCAGATAACTGGTGCAAACTGGAACCCCAAGTTAGAAAGCTTATGTAAATAGTGTATAAAAGAGAGCCTCAAATCCTTCTTCAGGAACAGAACGCTCCCGTCTCGCCCGCTGCTTCTCTTAGTGGTGTATTTCAACAAATCCACCTTTTCTGTTCTCCACTCTGTCTCTGCTGAATTCTTTCACCCCTGCACCTCCAGCCTCATCCCGATATTTTCCCCACATATCATCAATTTGTGGAAAGGGTACAGACACACATACTCCTTGAACATATCCTATGTGCCAACACTTGCTGGGGGGTGGGGGGGTGGTGCTTCCTACTGTAGCTCTTGATTTCCACCACCTCCCCCACCACCTCTGAATTTACCTGCAGCCTTAAGCACCTCTCAGCCAAACCCCCACTTCTCCCTGCCTAAGCCTCTCCCTGCTGTGTGATGGCAACTGTTAAATACCGCAAGCCTCCTTTCATCAGTGGGCCAGTCAGAGGCATGTCTACAGGCTCAGGGGGCTGGAGCTCTGAGTGCCTTGAGGCTCACCTACTCATTAATGACTTTTCCTTCTTCCAGGTACCCAACTTGGGCTTCCAGGAACACCTCCCAAATGAACTGCCTTCATCCAAATCCTATGTGAGGATCCACTCTCAGGGCAACCCAAACTTGGACTTTCAGATACCATGACGACCATGGTGGACTCACCTTTGCCAGGTGAGGAAGCTAGGCCCGAGAGGGTAGTAGCTGGTGTCAGTTACAGGGCCCATAGCCAGATCTGTCTGTCTTGTTCTTGGAGTTCCAGCGTCCCTTCTTCATGATGCTGATGAGGAGGAGGGTGTTGATGAGGATTTCCAGAGGAGGAGTCCATGGCTCAGAGCATTAGGTAACTAGCCTGATGTCCAGGTTATAACTGGCATGTGCCCCCAGGAAGCCTGCAGAAGCATAGGAGACTCACACTGGCAAGGCGGCCATGGGCCGGGAGATTTCTCCTCGAGGGGCGCCCTAGTGTGGCAGCCCTGCCCACTGGGTGGGATAAACATCATCTTCAATGACTGCTCCCAGGGTGGTTGCCATGGTTACCACTTGGGTAACAGTCTGAATAATGGAGAAACTGCAATGGTAACCACAGCCACTGTCACAGCTTCTGCTTGATACCCACCCCCACCACCCCCCTTCATTCTGAGTGAAACTGGAACTAGGGATTGGGAAGGGGCAGGACCAGTTGCCATGAGAACAAGGGAGCAGCTCTTTATGACCTCATCCCTGGAATCCAGAGCACTTGGCCTCAGGGCCAAAAGCCAGCATTGCCCTGCTCTTCCCACCTCCTTCCATTTTTTTCCCCCTGACGCCTGCCTGCCAAGTCTGATGTTGCTGCGCTCGCCCGGCTGTTCTCTTATGGAGATTGTTCTCAATGTTAAGTCTTACCCTCTCTCTCCCTTCTCTCCCTCCTGTCCCCACAGAGATGCAGTCTTACAGAGGAGGCAAACTCTTCGCTGGGAAGCACCCCCTCACCTCCCCACCCCTGCCTCGCTCTGAGCCTTGAAGTGATTATTCCAGTCTTCGCATCTGTAAAACGGGAACAGTGATTGTTGTGAGGGCTAAATGGAAGCGTCAGAGCAGGAAAGCTGAGCGTGTGATCCCTGAAGGAAACAGGTCTGTGTTTAATTCCCAGTGCCCTACCGCGTGTTAATTTTCAGAGCCTCCTTCCGTCCCTGTACAATGAAGGTAATAGTTGTGCGCCTCTGGCCTGGATTCGATGCACTAGTGGATCTGAAGCCTGGACCATGGTATCTGTTCGCCTTTCTCTGACTCTGCCCCCGCCTGCCTGTGACCCTCTACAAGCTGGAGTGCCTGATCCCAGAGTGGTGACAGGAGACCGTGCCCTTCCCTGAGAGAGAATAGCCCGCCTTCCAGCCATGCAGAGGACGGAGGGAAGACCTCCGTTTCCTCTCTTGACCCCTGGTGGTTTTCACCTGCACCTGATACCATAGCACCAGCTGAGTGGGTCCCAATTGCACCGGAGGGAAATGAAGAGCTTGAAGCTGACAGGGACACAGAGCTTCTTCAAGCCATGGTGGTGCTGCCATTCATCACTTCAAAGCACATGATCAGGGTGGCGGAGGCTGAGGACAGGGAAAAGAAAGAATCTGCAAATTTCCTTTCCCAAATAACATTAATCCTTCCCTTCTGCCTTCCCATAGCCCTTGCCATTCTCTGACAGGAGGCTTGATGGGAATCCTGATGCGATTGCGGAGGTCTTTAGAGTCTCGAAGAATATCAGAAGCTTTTGCAAGTATATATATTTTGCTAGAGAAGGGGCCAGAGTATCCACAGTTCTCAATGGTTCGGGTGTGGCACTCCAGGTGCTGCGGTGGGGTACTGGTCTGCACACACTCACACACACTGAAGAGTAAACTTTCAGGAATTTTGTGAATTGATCATTCAATCAAAGGCCTCCCCTGGTGGCGCAGGTGGTTGAGCACCGCACTGTGAAGCTGTCCACAGCCTCTGCAGCGCCGGTTCGATCCTGGCCGGCTGGTGAGAGTCCCACACGGCGAAGCAGACCTCTCCTGTCTCGCCTGCTGCTCCCCTCAGCAGTGTATTTAGTCAGTCTGCCTGTTCTGTCCCCCGCTCTGTCGCTGGTGAATCCTCTGACCCTCCCACACATCTGGCCTGTACCCCAGTTCTTGTATAAATAAATAAATAAATTTTTTAAAATAAAAATAAATAAATCAAAGGTAATACATACTCAATACTCTTCACTTTTTAGTATGATTCTGGTTCTACTGTTCTCTATGCTCTTGAAGCTACAGACATCTCTTGTGTCTGTAGCCCCTCAATGATGGTGTGTTAGTGTTAGCAGGCAGACTGAGGAGCACCCCAGGACCCTTTAAGTGGTTTCTGCCATCCACTGCAGAAAGACAAAATGCACTCTTAGTGTTAAAGATCTTCAATAGAAAATAACTTTACTCTAATTAGTGTGCAATAGCGAGAAGAGAAGAAAAACAATATATATATATATATATATATTTAAAATAACTTCCCCATGAAACATCCCAAAGTAAACCATTCCCTCATGGGTAAATGCCCAGCCAAACAGGATTGGCCCAAAGCAGGCCACTGAAGCCTAAAAACTTGCCACGAGACGAAAGAATCTTTTGGTGGAAACACATAGAAGAGGGGCAGAAGAGGCCAGGTAAGTCTGGAAGGAACAAAATTAAAATACAAGTCAAGATAAAGGCTAACATCTTCAGCTTCCCCATGGGTCTCTCGCCTATGTCTCCATCTTCTTCAATTGTCTCTTTCCATGTATCCCAGGTCCCTGATATAAGAGCAAGGCCGAGAAGCAAGCACTTCTTGCTTCTTTTTTATATGTCTCTCTGCTCCATGTACCTCCTTCAAACCTTTTTCTTTTCTTCCCAAGTCCTCTTCAGCTTCCTCTTCTGCTCAGCTCCATCCTTCAATAGGTGGGGCAGGGAATCTGGAAACTCACCTTCCTATGGATATTACACTTAATATCTCTCCCTAGTCTGCATTCAGTGATAGCCTATGATCGCTTCATAATGCCGTGGTGGGAATATTTATACCACAGAAATTAGCAAGTGCTATGAACCAGCCTTCCCCCATGCCTGACCTCTTGTTGAACTTTCACCATCACGCCACGATCCCTGCACCACCCACAGAATTATCTGAGGTGATCTGTTGCAAACAGAGATCCCAAAGCCCCTCTTAGACTATCTCTGAAATTGGTGGGAGTCCAAGAATCTGAGACTTAGAGAGCCCCAGCCTGGTTCATAAACACACCATGCACAAGGAGAGACTGGAAGGGAATAAGGGATAATAGAAGATGTGGAGGGCAAAGAAAGGATTCACAGAAGAATTTTCCCTGGGATCAGTTGTAGGGCAATTATAAAGTAGGGGAAGGCCCTTTATCATTATTTTTATTCTGGAAGAGATATCTATTCAGCATCCACTATAGTTTCAGGCTCAGTTCTAAGTGCCTTACATACATGTTTCACTTATATCTCACCTTGATATAAAAGTTATTTATTGCACCTATTTTACAGGTGAGGCAACTGAGGCTTAAGCACAAACACCTTGCCTAAGGTCCACACTCCTAAGAGATTAAGGCAAAATTCAAACCACAGAAGTGAGCTGATTCCAGAAGCCATGACCTCACCCCAAGCTCTGTGGTGAACACAGAGAAACACCTTGGTAAATATTAATAGATGGACTTCAGAAGCCACCACCCTGCTGGAGAGACATTTCCTCTGAAGTAGGTTTGAATATTCAAGAGCATGGGGCTGGCTGATTTGGAACATTTGTCAATTTCTATTGTGTCAATACCCCACCACGACAATGTCATTCCATTAACTGTCTCACATAAGTAAAGAGAAAATAGGGCTCACCCTGAGGTATGAACAATCCAGACAGCACCCCCCCCATGCAGGGGTGGGCCATCGGAAGGATGCCCCACATTGTGCTTCAGAGTGCAAAAGGCTGTTCACACCAGCTCCTTACTGACTCACACCTCCCTTTTTAGATCTCTAAGAGTGAAATGGAGTTTGAAAGGGCCATGCTTGGAAGGCCTTCAGGAGGCCCAGAGGAACCTGACATAAAGGTTGACACTGCAGTGTCAGTTCTGAGGGCACCCAACACTGAGCATCCTGGGTGAGGGCCAAGAGAAGATGGTGGGTCAGGAACACCCGTGAAGGCCTGGAGCCCACACCGACTGGCGTCCCCTGGGTTTTCAAAGAACATCCAGACGTGTTTAGCTCAAGCCAAGTGAAACCCTTTCCTGCTCTCTTCTTTCCACCATGCAGGTCCCTCAACACTGCATTTCCCAAAACTGGGGTCCTGAAAGAGAGGCAGAGAGGTTTGGGAATTGCTGTCTATTATATCCTTTTCATGGAGATGAGCATGATCACATTAAAGGCTCTAGAAAGTTCTGCAGGAAAGAAACATTTGTAACTGTAAACCATTTTGACTGACTGAAGGAAGACACAAAGGTGGGCTCCACCCTAACCCCTCAAGCTCTGCTGGGTTCCTATTGCCCCCACCCCTGGTTTCAGGGGCATTCACATGTAACACCACCTGTTTCTCTTCAGAACTCAACTCCAGCCTCAGTACCCAATGTGCCCCCAGCAGAGCACAAAGAGCCTTGAAATTTGCTTTCCCCTGGGCAGCTCTTGACCAGTGACCAATATGCTGTCCTAGTAGGGGCAGCTCTGAGGCTAATTTAGAGCTCTGGCTGCCTTATGGGAGCAACCCAAAGCTGTCTGCCCTGTGTGGGGCTTTGCTCCAGCTCACACCCTTGCTGATTTCTCCCTCTGACCCCTGACAGTGGGGCTCGGAGCACTCCCTATTCAAACCCCCTGTTCAGGCTCAACCTCTGGAAACTGGACCTGAAACACTTCATTTCTCCACATGCCAACTCTTTGTTCCTATGACCCCTATCATTATTGTTTGGATTCATATTATTTGGCACATACTTTGGTAAACTCTGCCTTGGAGAATAGCCCATGCCACTAAATTGACTTTCTGGAGAGAAAGACTGATTTGATGAGAAAAGAAGGTGATCATGGGGGCCCACCATGAGCTCAGTGCCCTTTCTTTTCAGCCTTTCCTGTATCCTCAATCTTGGCAGGGGTCCTGCATATGGGGCCAGAAAGAGACTTCGTCTTTCAGTGTCCAGCCTGCTTCAGAGTCCAGGAGTATAATCCAACGAATTCAACAGATGGGGGATGGAGATGGGATTTTCTAGGGGATATAATTAATCTCTGTCATGGATATTTCTCTTCATGGAGAATGGGGCCACCATAAACTACTCATCCATCTAGAATCCACTTCTCTCTGTGTGCTATAAGATTTCCCAGCATTAGAGCATCTCCAAGTGCATCCGCAGCCAGAGATGATGTAAATGAGTGGATCCCACATTGTGGGAAGCACCTGGGATAGATGGGGACCAGGATAAAATGGAGGGGCATGGTCCCATGGGAGGGAGCAGCTACCAGTAGCTCCAAGTTAATTTCTCTATGAAGGAATTAGATACAGGCAATATTTTTTGAAAAGCCAGAAATCCGCATTTTACCTGAAATTCCTTGACTTTCCAATATTAGCAAATAGTCCCAATGTTTTAAAACTGTGCAACA